AGGGCGGCGGTGCCTGTCCCAGGGCGCGGGGTGCCCCTCTCCGCTGCGGCCGCCCCTGGGCCCGGGGTGCCAGGCCCTCCTCGGACCCGGTTTTAAACCCTTCCTTAGCTGCTTCGTTGACGTGAAGACAAATATTTGTTTTTTTAATTTATTTATTTATTTATTTATTTATTTTTAATAGTGAATATTGTTTCAAAAGATGTTGGTAAATCAGTGCCACTGGTCACGGCCACGTTTTTGTGGCTCTAAACCACTTCACGTGTGTGCTAGCCACCCGATACCGAGATAGATTTGCAAATACAGCTTCAGGCTATTATGGCAGGTAGTTTTAGTGTTCCAGACAGGTCTAGCTTTTGGGAGGACTACGTCTGTAGAAGCTTTTGGATGTGTAAAAGTTTATGTTCTTGAGAGTCACGTGCTGTCATTGTACTTTCGGCAGGATTTATTTTTATGGAAGAGTCTTCGGCTGTTTGTCTGCCAGCTTTCATCTTCAGTGGTGGAGGAGGCGGCGTAGTGTTCTGTTTTCTCTGTGTTTCCTATTCGGACTTCCTGGCTGCTGCGTATGGACTTCCCCCCACGCTGAGCTGCTACACCCTTTCTTTATTGTCACCCATCAACAGCTCCAGCGTCTGCCAGCGCAGTTGCTCATAAATGTCACATAATTGACAAACAAGTTTCAGACGGATTTTGCTCCTTCCTGTAAGCCCGTGAATGGCAGCAGTGAAAACTGATGTAATGCTGTGAACATAAGCTCAAACTTACAGAAATAATGCAGTAGCACCAGTTTAACTAATTGATGATGGTAATATGAGTAGTGCTTAGCACAACCTATGCCAGTTGGAGCTGCTTTAAATTTACTCCAGTACTAGTGCAGGAAAATCCATTCCGAATTTGAGGTCAGCTGTTTTCTTCCTATCTTGGACATTATTACCTTACACTTCAGAGGTAATTATGTCTGTGGTAGTGCAAGCGCAAGCGCTCTAATCTCTGGAACAACTACTTCTCTTACCCTCTAGTGCAGAAGGAATGTCAGTCCTATTTATTCTCTAAGAATTACATGAATCAAATCACAGCCAGACTGAAATAAGAAGATAAATGGACTTCAGGCACTGAAGTCTCAAACTGCGTTCCAAGAAAACCTCTATTCTGTGGCCATCCAACTTTGGGTACATCTTAGCTCATTGCATGTCTTCCTTCTTGACCTTGGTGTTCCCTGGGTTCCTGCAGGCCTGCCCAGTCTCTTCTTGAGAATCAGGTTTGGGTTGTAGTATTTTGCTCCAAACGTGTACTGACTGGATCAGCTTGGAAAATACCGCCACCAGTCTAGTATGGCATGTGGTTTGGTGGCTTCTTGTGTGCTGTGTTTGGCCTCTTGAATTACGTTGTTTTTTTTTTTTTTTTTTTTTTTCCACCACACATACATTTGAATAGCTTTAACTTGAAAGGTACGCAGTTTACCTCTCCATCCTTAAACTCAGAGTCACAGTACTCTCTTAGGAAATGGAGATGTATGTTTGAACTTCCTTGTGCTGAAGAAGGCACTAAATCCAGGTATTTAACTGCCTTTACATGTGCTGTAGCCATTAGGGTATTATATGGGTGGTGCTGACACTTCTTTAAGATTGGGATCTGTGCCAAATTCAAGCCAATATCTCTTATGAAATAAAATAATAAGTGTGTCTTGTCAGGGCAGGATTCCAGATGATGAATTTTAAGTGATTTTTTTTTTTTTTTAAAGCAGGCATTAATATCTGAGTCCAGTGCCAGTAAATACCCTGAGCTGACCTTGCCAATAGGAAATAGTATTATTTTTTTCATCATTCTTCTGAAGTATCCTTCAGCAGGCATTTTCTGGGAACTTGAGCTTGACACAAATTTCTGGATTCTACTGTAAAGGCTCAGTGCCTGTAAACTAGGTCTACAGCCCAAAGCTATAGGTTTTAGGCCCTTTGGATCTGACTCTGCATTTTGGGTGCTTTTTTATTTTTAAATATTCATGACTTGAAATGCAAGGAAGTTGGATAACAGATAAATCCATGAGGCATATAATTCTTTTCTCTCCTTGGTGTCATGTACTTTTACTTTAAGTCAATAGGAATTTGTTTATGAATAGTGTTAATATTTACCAAAAATAAGCACAAAAGCTCATTAGTTCCACACCCTTTTAATTACTTCTGTACAGAAAAACTCCTTGAAAATCTGCATACACTTCACAGTGTAGCTACTGTTAACAGAACAAAAAAGGGCTTAGTTTTGTAACTATACCATAAACACCTTTTATTGCCCAGCTACACTCACTGTCTTTTTCTAGGTCATTATGGTTGCGATATAGTTAAATTTAATTAGGATCAGTATTAAACATTTCAGTTAAGTGTGCTGGTATATTTAAAACTTAATTTTGGTCTCTTCTCTTGTCTTTTCTGTCATGCTTAGATTTAGTTGGCGTTCTCAAGTTCTGTTTTTTGTTTCAGTTGGGGAGCTTCTTCTTCCTGTCAAGAGATCTGTGGCACAGAGTTGAAGTTAGAAATTTTTTCTTTTCATTTGTGTATACTGGGAGCTAATCATGGATACATTTTTTAAAAACTGATCACATCTTTTCCACAATTGATATCTTTAGCATCTGTTTAATTATATTTCTCCCTCTGTGTGTGTCCCTTCCCTCCCAGCTTGCCTTCTGCCACCCCAGCAGTCAAATTCTAGTGGTGCATATTGGGGATGGAGTTATCGGATGCTCACAGAGCTCTGCTATAAGGAACAATCTATAGACAGTTCAAATTCTTGAACTTAGTGATTGTTAGAATGACTATCTGCAGTTTTGAAACATTACTTGGTGTTCTGAGAGACTTGTGTCTCTTCTACCATGCGTTCACTGTAAGCAACAATGATTTTTTTATAATTTTTATAAATAACAGAATTAATGTGACTTGAATTTGAATATGACATCTAAGTGTTCAAAGGTAGTAACAGACCAGCATTGCTTCTTTCATTTGTTAGTTACAGACAGACTGCTTCAAGTAGCAGCACTCATCTTGGAGCACTGTAGTAAAATAATAATGAATAGTAAAGCTGCAGCATGATAAGGGTTTATCTGACTCTACTTGATGACTCCGAAGAACTCCTTGTTTAATATTTGGTAAATGTCAGCTTGCCTCTAGTGGAAGTAGTGAATGTGTAGAAGCACGGTACATAAAAGAAAGGAGAATCTGTACTTCTTTGGGTCTGTTTTAATTCTTCCTATTGTGATTGACTGATAACTTTGGTATTTAGATCAATTAAGGTGATGAGGAAAAAGTTCAGAATAAAAGTTGTATGAAAACTGTCCTATATTTCCATATCCTGGAATGATATACCTGGGTTCTCAGAAAGTGTAATCCTTCCTGTCATAAACTGGCATCTATGTGAAGAGTCTGCGAAGATTGTGCTCCCAACAACGGGTAATTTTCTTCAACCTAGAGAATACAATAGTTATACATCAATAATAATGAATGAGTAATAATGATTGCACATTAATATTATTAATAATTACTATACATTAAAGCATGTTAAGTTTTGTCAAATTCATCCTTTAAAAAAATATTTTGCTCCAGAAAGCCTGTAAGTGACCAAACAGGGACGTCCTACCCACACAGTGTGCTGGTTGACCGGGACTGTATAGCTGAACGTCAGTCTGTTCCTACCATTGGCTTGGATCTTTGTGTAATGCCTTTTTTCATTGCCTTCAAATGTGGAATATGAAACTGGTTAGAAACTAAAATGCAATTTATTGCATTCAAGTTTAGAGACAAAAAATGAATGATTATTGAGTAACTTTAAAGAAATTGCTCTTAAAAACTCATAGGTATCAGGACTATGGAAGTCACCTTGGAACACAGGAAATTTCCTTCTTTTTAAAATATTTACTTTTTTTTTTGTTAATACACATTCCTTAAATACTTTTCTTTAAATTGACAATTCTGTTAAGTCAATTAATGCTCCTTTGAAAGTTCTGAAATTACTAATTTGTAAAAGAAAAAAACCCATATGGATGTTTCATATATTGCAATCCTGTTAATTACCTCTTCTATCTGAGTGTGGTGGCTTTTTCTTTATAATAAAGCTTCAGGTACGTATAACCTGTGTAAAAAAGAATGATCTATTGAACAGTAGACACTTTAAAAGGTAAATAAATGTTGCTATATGAATTTGTTTTATATAAAAAATTTCTTTATGATAACTGAGTAATTTCTTCACAGATAATGAAACTGCCGTCTACACACTAATGCCGATGGTTATGGCTGACCAGCACAGGTAAGAGCTTCTTTAAATTTCCTTTTTTTTTTTTTTTTTTTTTTTTTTTTAAGGTCTGAAAACCCAGCATGTTTGCTAGAGTTGTAGCTGCTAGAGCACTCTCAGGGAGTTCTGCTGCTGAATTGCTGAGATCTTCTGTAGATGAGGTTAGTCACTATTGGTGTGCATCCCAGCATATTCTCACCCGAGAAACCTGTTTTGTTTTATACCATAGACTGGAGCTGGGATTTGTTCTGTTGATGCACATAGAGAAATCTGTCCTAGGATAAGAACAAAAGTGTTGTTTTGTAACTGGGTTGTAACTGTGTGTGCATTTATTGATGACACAGAAGCTCTTAGTATCATTAGACGTCTCAGACATGGAATAAGAGTTGGACAATGAGATTGATACTTCTGGGATTCCTCAGATGAGCAGCTGTCTCTCTTACCCAGTTGTCCTCAAAGTCGTTGGGACCTGGGGGCTGTATAGTGCCAGCTAAGTGGTGCTACTGTCTCATGAGTTTTGTAGGCAAGCATGTAGTAACTCCTAATGAAACTGTAAACTGCTTATGTAATCAGGATAAACAATGGTTCTGCTATGGAGTGTCTTACTGAAATAAGTTCACTTGCAGTTTTGCTTATGTTGAAGTATTTTATCTTGACTAATATTTTATCTTTACTAATTCATTAGGGCTTGAAGGGTCCTATTTAAATTTCTTATCATAGCATATCATGTGTCCTTCTGCTTCATCGTGATATTTTGCATACCAGTCAATCTCCTGAACTTTGCCTGTGTTTAGGAGAGCTGCTGGATAGCTGGTTAGAGTGTCTGTGTTGAGATAAGGAAGAAAATGGGAACTTACAGCTTTTCAAACCAAAGCTATTAATATGTTTGTTTTCCATGTTTATATAGAAGTGATTTGGCTGTCTGGTCTAATTCTTACTAGTTAATATATGAGGCAGTTGCCCAATGTCACAGTTCCTTTTTTATGTACAAGTAAGAAGTGAAAGAGTGAAAGTACCGTTAATATACAAATGCTTGAAAGCTGTTGGATCTCTTGTTCAGAAATTAGTTGGTGGGAAAAGAAACAGTGATCAAGTACGAAACAGAGTACTTGGTTACAATTTACTGTATATACTTTGCTTAGATGTTGTAAGCTATTTTTGAATTAAAATTATATTTCTGTTTGAAGGTCTGTCTCAGAGCTGCTATCAAATTCAAAATTTGATGTGAATTATGCATTTGGACGTGTGAAGAGAAGTTTGCTTCATATTGCAGCAAAGTAAGACTTACTTGAGTCCAGTCCAGAAGTTAACAATGAAAGTATTACCACAAATCTAAGGCACCAATGTAAGCTGGAAAACTCTGTAGTATCAGTTAACATTTTGCTTTTACACTTCCTTTTTGTATTTTGTTTGTTTTTTTAGCAATGTGCCTGCCTCAGTGAGAGGACAGGTTGTACACATGGTATCAAATGGCTTTCCTAATTCTAGTGAAGGAAGTCTTGATGGCTACCTTTTTCCTTTCTGTGAAATCTCAGCTTCTGACGAAATGTAGCCATTATGTGTATCTTGTATAGCCAGGTTACTCTTCCCTCCGCAGATTTAGAGAAATCTTGTCTGCAGGTGCTGCTTGTTTTTGAAGTATTCTAAGGGGGAAGCACTGGGATGTTCACGGGGAAGCAGCTGTTCCAGTGTACTTCATGTGACCATAAATGAAGGGAATATAACTTGGTCACTGACTTCTAATAATTTTTTGTAGCCTGGATGAAGGACTTACGTGCAAATTTCAAATCTGTGACCTAGATTATTTATTATTTATTTAGCTCTTTAATGTGTAAAAATCTATTTTGCCAGGAAACAGCCAGGTTAACATAACCTTAATAGGAACGAACCAGATTAGTTTCCTGAATGGCCATTTCAAAATTAACTTTAATGAATGAATGTTCTTTGTTTGGGTCCCCTTTTAAATATCTTGAAAGTTCTTATGTTTAAACTGTTAAAACCCCCCAAGAAAATAGTAGTAGTATCGTATATAAATAGCAGGTATTTGGGCACAATAAAGGTAGAAGTTCTACTTTTCTAATCAGACTGTTCTAGAAATACCAGTTTCTCAAATACTCCATCTCAGAGTTACATGCTGCTTATATAAAATTTACTTAAGAAAGTACTTACAGAAAAAATGCAAGCACATTTTTAGCATACATCTTAGAAGTATCTTTGAAAAGCTGTATTAACTGATCATAAAGCCCAAGACATTGTGTTATACTTAGTTTCTGGTTTCTCTTTTGTCTTGACTAGTTCTTGGATCATTAAGAGGTCGCTGAGATGCTGTTCTTGCAACTTACTGTATAGCTAGCTAGTCTTCAGTTACTTTGGGTGGTTATTTAGCAGTTCTGTCATTGGGAAGACTAGTAACAATGGATAAACTCATCATGAAGGATACAAAAATACTGTATGCTTATCCTCCTATTCAGCTCTTCCTCTTGAAGAGACCAGGAGTAAGATAAAAATGTAATGCAAAGTGCGCTATAGTATGAAAAGTAAAAGGGAGTTACAGGTTCAAAACATATAGCAAACTTTTAAATGTAACTTCCGGACGCTGAAGTGTAACAAAAAAAATACTGGAATTATTATTTAATGGAAAATTCAGTCCTGTGAATAGATTAAAGAGGAGGGTGATGAGAGGAAATAGTAAGTAAAACACTTTAAACTGTTTACATTTTAAATAGTTGGCAGTCTTAAAGATTCACTGTTGAGTTTTAAAGTCACCAAATCACATAGAAGGCTACCATCTATTAATTAGTACAAGTTATGATCAGTCAATTCTCACTGCATTTAAGTGTCTTTCCTTTAACTTTGTAACTTAAACTATGAGGGTTTAAAAACAGTTCTGTGTGAAGTTTTTCTGCTGAATGTAATCTGTACATAGTATTGCTGTTGTCTTTATGTCAATATAGACTTGGTTTGTAAATATCCTTGTTACAGATTTTTTTTCTTATTTTGATTTTAGCTGTGGATCAGTTGAATGCCTTGTGCTATTATTAAAAAAAGGAGCAAATCCAAACTATCAGGACATTTCAGGATGCACTCCTCTCCATTTAGCTGCAAGGAATGGGTAAGAAAAAGTTTTATGAACTCTTAAAAAGGTTTTGTGCATAGTCATGGAATCACAGAATGGTTTGGGCTGGAAGGGACCTTAAAGATCATTTAGTTCCCACCTCCCTGCCCCGGGCAGGGCCCCCTTCCCCCAGCCCAGGGTGCTCCCAGCCCCGTCCAACCTGGCCTTGAACCCTTCCAGGGAGGGGGCAGCCACAGCTTCTCTGGGCAACCTGTTTCATGGTCTCACCACCCCTACAGGAAATAATTTCTTCCTTATATCTCTTCTAAATCTACCCTCTTTCAGTTTAAAACCATTACCCCTCATGCGATCACCACTACACTCACTGATAAAGAGTCCCTTCTCAACTTTCTTGTAGCCCCCTTTAAGTACTGGAAGGCCGCTATAAGGTTTCCCTGGAATTTTCTCTTCTCCAGGCTGAACAACCCCAACTCTCTCAGCCTGTCCTCGTAGGGGAGGTGCTCCAGCCCCCTGATCATCGTTATGGCCCTCCTCTGGACCTGCTCAAGCAGGTCCATGTCCTTACACTGGGGGTCCCTAGACCTGAACACAGCACTGCAGGTGGGGGTCTCGTGAGACTGGAGCAGAGGTGGAGAATCCTCTCCCTTGACCTTCTGGTCCCACTTGTCTTGATGCAGCCCAGGATACAGTTGCCGCCTTGGCCTGCAAGTGCCCATTGCTAGCTCAGTCAGTTTTCCATCCACTAGTACTCTCAAGTCCTTCTCTGCAGGTCTGCTTTCAATCCATGTATCACCCAGCCTGTATAGTTGTGTTTGGGATTGCCCTGACCCATGTGCAGGACCTTTTACTTGGCCTTGTTGAACTTCATGACGTTTGCACAGGCCCACCTTTTCAGCCTGTCAAGGTCCCTGTGGATGGCATCCCTGCCCTCCAGCATGTTGACTGCAGCACACAGCTTTGTGTTGTCGGCAAACTTGCTGAGGGTGCCTCAATCCCACTGTCCATGTTGCCAACAAAGATGTTAAAACAGTGCCAGTCTCCATGCCGACCCCTGAGGAATGCCACACATCACTGGTCTCCACTTGGACGCTGAGCTGTTGACTGCAGCTTTTTGAGTGCGACCATCCAGCCAATTCCTTATTCACCAAGTGACCCATCCATCAAATCCATGTCTCCAATTTAGAGACAAGGATGCCCTGCGGGACAGTTGTCAAATGCTCCTCACGAGTCCAGGTAGATGATGTTAGTTGCTCTTCCCATCCACCAGTGCTGTAACCCCATCGTAGAAGGCCACCAAATTCATAAGGCACACTTTGCCCTTAGTGAAGCCATGTCGGCTGTCACCAGTGACCTCCTTATTTTCCATGGGCTCTAGCACGGTTTCCAGGAGGATCCACTCCATGATCTTTCTGGGCGCAGAGGTGAGACTGACTGGCTTGTAGTTCCCTGGGTCTTCCTTTTTTTCCCTTTTTAAAAACGGGGATTCTGTTTCCTCTTTTCCAGTCACTGGGAACTTTACTGGACTGCAATCACTTCCCAAATATGATGGATAGTGGCTTAACCACTTCATCCACCAGTTCTCTCAGGACCTGTGGATGCATCTCGTCAAGTCTCATGGATGTGTGCACCTTCAGGTTCCTTAGATGGTCTTGAACTTGATCATCTCCTACAGTGGGCAGTTCTTCATTCTCTGAATCCCCACTTTTACCTTCTGTGTCTTGGATGATGTGGCTGGCGCCCTTGCCCGTGAAGACTGAGGCAAAAAAGTCATTGAGTACCTCAGCCTTCTCCATATCCTGGGCGACCAAGTCTCCCTTCTGGAGAGGGCCCACATTTTCCCTAGTCTTCCTTTTATCACTGAAATACCTATAGAAGCATTTCTTGTCCTCAGTGTCCCTAGCCAGATTTAATTCTACCAGGGATTTGGCTTTCCTAATATGATTCCTGGCTGCATAAACAATTTCTCTGTATTCTTCCCAGGCTACCTGTCCTTGCTGCCACCCTCTGTAGGCCTCCTTTTTCTGTTTGAGCTTGTCCAGGAGCTCCTTGTTCATCCATGCAGGCCTCCTGTCATTTTTACTTGACTTCCTCTTTGTTAGGATGAATCACTCCTGAGCTTAGAGGAGGTGATCCTTGAATGTCAGCCAGCTTTCTTGGGCCCCTCTTCACTTCAGGGCTTTATCCCATGGTACTCTGACAAGCAGATCCCTGACGAGGCCAAAGTCTGCTCTCCTGAAGTCCAGGATACTAATGCATGTGAGCTGTTCTGCAATATTTTTGCATATTTCAAAAAAATACTTTAGTTTTAACTGTTGAAAATAGGGATGGCACACTTACAGGGAACGTGGCAGTTAAAATCCATACTTTAACTATTCAGAAAATATTTTTTTATAAATAGGAAGTTATGTCTGAAATGCAATTTCAGTGCCAGTCATTTTAGTGTTCTCTGTTAAGCAGGAGTTTAATGATTCTTGTAACAGTGATTGAACAAGGGAGGCATTCGCCTCCTAGTTAAATAAGCGAGAAAAAATTTTGAAGAGGACACTGGAGGATCTGGAAGGGTTCAGAGATTGCAGGTTTTTCTCAGTGCATCCAAGGAAATTTTTACCACAAGGAAAGGAATACAAAGTTTACCTGCAAAATATTAGGAGAGGGGGGAAGAAAAAAAAAACCCAAAAAGTGAGCAAGTACCTTTTTTAAGATCTTTTAAGATCTTATTTCTTGAATTGGAGTATGTGGAAAAACAGCTGACAATGGTAATGCTGTCTTTCTCTTTTTAGAGCATGTTCGAGTGACAATAACTGAATTGTATCGTGGCTGGTACTTCAGATGAGGAAGAGGTAGTGTTTAGTGGCTTTTAGGTATGTGGGAGGAATATTTGAAGGAGAAGGGAGAATGGAGCAGCCAAGTGCTACATGATGAAATGCGGAAATACACTCAGGAGACAGTTATGTGGAAAGGAGGCATGAGAAAGGTGTGAGAGGTACCAAATGAAAAATGAGTCCAAACTCTTAAAGCACTTAGAGTATTAGAGAGCGCTAAAAGACCAAACAAAACACGAAGTAGGAAAAACTCCCCTACTTTCTTTAAGGCAGTTATTGTACTTGCCAAAGATTTACATACTATTGCAATGAGTGTCTCATTAAATAATGATTTAGTGGTCTACTGTAAATGTGTTCACTGCAGTGCACAGATAATGACGAACTTCATGGATTTCCATTAGCTGAATTCTAGCTTCTTGTCTTGATAATGTAGTTCTGCTGAGCTGAACCTGCTGGACTCTGGAAAGCCTGGAAGTGCTTAACCACCAAAAATATTCAGATACATAACTATGTTTTTAGCCCTGTGCTGTTGTATGCTACACTTGGGCTGTGTGAGTCTTTGGTGTTATTGATGATCACTTCTCTTTTTCACATGCTCAGTACCATGCTCCTTATAAAGTAAAACTACCTGCTATGGTTTGTGCAATGATAAATTGGAGTGAGTGAAGCTCTAAGAAGGTACTTGGTCTTTGTAAGTGATTTTTCTTGTCTGGGTTTTAATGCATTCTTTTGGTTTTAGCCAGAAGAAATGTATGAGCAAGCTGCTGGAATACAGTGCAGATGTCAACATTTGTAATAATGAAGGCTTGACTGCAGTAAGTGCTACTGATTATCATGGTGCTTTTACAATGGATGGAGAATTTGAAGAAGCTTTCTTAAGCTTCTGCCATTTAACATGTAAATAAACAAAACTGCTCTATGTCCCATGCCCTTAAGAATCAAAAGATGTGATCAAAGTACTAAGTGTATGATAGTATTGTTCAAAGCTTCTCTTTGTGAAAATGTTGACAATAGTACAGTCATGTTTAAAATCATATTTATAAAATACTTATTGCTAAAGGGAACATGTATTATCATTTTGTACTTAGATTCATTGGTTGGCTGTCAATGGACGAACAGAATTGCTTCATGATCTTGTTCAGCATGTCAGTAACGTGGATGTTGAAGATGCAATGGGACAGACAGCCCTTCATGTAGCTTGTCAAAATGGACACAAGACAGTAAGTTTCTAAATTTTATTAACACATTTGATTTGTGAAGAATTGGGTAATGCCTCAATGTTGTGTGAGCTTTTTTATAAACTTCAAGCTAGTAATCGTTTAAAGTGTGAATAGCTCTGTTGTTTGTCTTAGTACTGACTGCATACAGTTTTATGGGAACAACTGATTTATTCTTGTGGAGATGATTGATCTCAGTGTTTGTGGGATTTACTCTGTACTGTTACTGTCTGGTTGAGTGCAGGTTTTAATGTCATGTTCAACATTTTCAAATATTCTTCCTTTTTAGAATGTGTTTGATTTGTAATTGCACCAGCTACTCTGTGCTTATGAATTCTGAAGTGATCTTAATTTACTGTAAATAAAAAATGAACACAGAATTGGGTCAGTTAAATATTTAACATTAGAAATAAACAACTTTACATAGACTCTTCTTTTATTGATCTGTGTGACTAATTTTTAGGCCTGGCCTTGTGTTAGGACTGACTGCTCTCAGGGTTCAGGTCCAGATGCTTTCCTTGAACTGCATTATTCATGTAGAGTTAGATAGATTGTCTCCAGGACCGTTAAAAAAAAAATTATCTTTCTACCCAGATTACTTCTGTTGTCGTTGTCAGAAGTCAACTTTGGAAGACCAGATTCCGAGAAACTGTTATCCATAGACTTAACAACTTTATGTGACTGGAATGTAGCAAAAGTTGTTTGACAGTCTGCTTAATGTTTCCATATTTTAGAATGTACTTACTTATTTCTTCTAGTGTGTGTTCAGAACTTCATGTTATGATAGGTCTGTTATGTCTGTCACTAACTTTAAGCTTTATGAGCTCTGAGAGCCATGATTTTCCATACAGTGTTTAGGAATTTTGGGTTTGAGATTCGTTACTGAAAATTAAATCATTCAGTGTAATTAGACATGCATGAAACTAAATAGTTGCAAACCAATGGACTTTTCTGTTGCTCATTTTCTAATGCTGTTATTTTTTTCTCTTCTAGACGGTGCAATGTTTGCTAGACAGCGGTGCAGATATAAACAGACCGAATGTGTCAGGGGCAACTCCACTCTATTTTGCTTGCAGGTTACATATTCTTAACTTTCGAATACTGTGCTAAAAGTGAAATAATTTTGTGGTTTTGTTTTTGTTTACTTCCCTTCTGCAAGAACAATGATTAGAAAGCACAAAATTTAGGACGCATAAAAGCTGACTGATATTTAATTTTACCTCATGCTTGATTGTAGTTTGGTGTCTCTTCTAAATACTTATCTTCATACTGCAGGCTTATATGCCTCTTTTCTAACAGACATGTTAAGCACATTGACTCATGCTAGAGCATGCATTGCTTAAATCAATGACTGCTGCACTTTTTTCTGAAAAAATCAGATCTACCAACTTGGATTATTTTGAGTAAACGAAAAATGCATCCTTTTATAAGGCAACCTTCACTATTCTTTAATGTACATTATGGTATTACAGTGCATTTAATCTAGAGAATTACAGTGAAAAGGAGCTTCAAGTAGGCTGTTAGTCTTACCTCTGTTTCCAGATCTGGTAGCCAACTCTGAACATTTGCTTGTACTGGGCAAAATCTGGTACACTAGATTAAGCTGTTGGTTTCCTG